AGGATCTCCTACATAGATCCCCTTCCATGTGGATGACAGTGGTAGCCCCGCACCATCTAGTTCTTCTGGTCTCATAGTTGTATAGGCTGCAGATTGGATGGTGTACCAGTTGCTAGGACTAATTGTTTCCATGAATTTTGGTTTTCTTCATTCTTCTTTGCTCTGCATTGCTGCATCTAGATGGCAGCTTGCTAGCTTTTAAGGTCCCAGTCACTACTTGACAAAGTAGGAGGTGGAACAGTGTTTTGTATAGAGCTTACTTTGCTTTTGATGCTAGAAACCTCAGGACTAAATTTAAATCCCCTAATGACATTGAATTTTTTCTTTTGTGTCAATAATTCAGTTATAGTAGTTTTTGTTTTTATTGTAAGCTGCCTCAACATCTTTCTAGAATCAAGGAAGTCATAAATATACAAGTTTAAAAATAAATGCCAAGGTGTGTGGTAATGATAAGAAGACATAGTAACTGTAGTCAGGAAAAAAATACCAATATTTGACTAGACTTGGCTTGGAAAGAAAGTGATTCTTAGAGGATTGCTACTATTTAAATGACAGAAGATGGAAAAGGATCCTTTCAGGAGAGAACCTAAGCAAGATGCAAGAAAGAAAAGCACATGATTTCCCCTAAAATCCACTGCTGCAGTTTGGGGAGCCGTGGGAATTAATGAGAGTGGGTCATCTTCTTCACGTCTGCCAGGGCAAAAAAAAAAAAAAAAAAAGTCATTGCTAAGAAAAGTAGGGTGGAATCAAGTAGTGGTCAGAGTGAGTTTTAAAAAGTTGATGTGGAATATTAATAGAAGGAGAGTTTAGGGTCAGAAGTTACATATAAAATCCTACTCTTTTGCTGCTCAAGAAGATTTTCTCTCTCTACATATATACATATACTTGTATATTAATTATTTGTTTACAATATATGTTTGCTAATTGCAAGCTCTGGTGGCGTAGTACCTAAGGCATTTGACTGGTAACCAGAAGGCTGGCAGTTCAAACCCACCAGCCACTCCTCCAAAGGAAGACTGGGCAGTCTACTTCCATAGAGATACCCAAAGAGGGGTCCCTATGAGTTGGAACCGACTCAATGGCGGTGAGTTTTGTTTTTTATCAGGTTAAGTGAGGGTAGGTGGAAATTTAGTTATCTTTTTCCTAATTCCTTATTTCTCCCTCTAGGATTAGCCATATCTAATTTCATATTTTAGCATGATCACTTCAGGTTTCTTACATTTTATTTTATTTTAAATTTTTAATGTGATTTGGGTGAAAGTTTAGAGAGCTAGTTAATGTTCCATAGGCGTTTCATACATAGTTTTGTTTCATGACCTTTGACTACAGTTCCCTACAGTGTAACAGCTCTCTTCCCACTTCCTCCCTTAGTTACTTCTTCCCCGTGTCCTTCCCTCCCATGCTCTGGTGGCACAGTGGGCATTGGACTGCTAACCAGAAAGTTGGTAGTTCAAAGCCACCAGCCACTGTGCTAAAGGAAGATTAGGCAATATACTTCTGTAAAGATTTATTGCCTTGGAAACCCAGTGAAGGTTTCTGTGAGTCAGAATCGACTTGATGGCAGTGAGGTTTGTTTTTTTCCCCACTCTCATGCATCCCCCCACCCCCATCCACAGTATCTTCCTGTGTAAACGCTGCCCTTCTGTTCTCTCACAGTTGATCGATTGATCGCTCTAAGGAGTGTCTCTACCTCATATAAATGTTTACCCCATATGCTTATCTTTTGTTTGGCTGGAAGGTACAGAAGTGAGTTAAGTTGCAGACCTGAAAGGTAACTCAGAGCCACAGTCTCAGGGGCCAGTTATCTTATATTTTAAAAAGGGCCAAAATGAATGCAATAGTACTATTTTGTCAAAGATCGCTGATGTTTATTGTGAAAATTTAATTTATGGCCAGAAATGAAAGTGTTAACATTGTTACCAGTAGATTGCTAGATCATATATTCAATTTTTTTTTTTTTTTGCCTCTTTCTCCTGTACCCTACACATCCCTGTGTGCCATCAGATTCTGCTGGTTCTTACTCTTGCATTTCTTGGATCCTTTGGCTATGGTCCCTTATATTGGACATAAGTCTATTTTCTGATATTCTTCTCTATCTTTACCCATTTCCAATAGAATTATATTCTATATATAACCTCAGCTATTATACTGAATTCACCTGTGTTTTATTTTATGTTTGCTGTATGCTAGCATTGTACTTTGTGGGCAAAATAAGAACTTTGGTAGTTGCTGGAAGATTCTTATATTCTTAACCTTTAATCTCCAAACTTGTTTGAAGAAGAGCCATCATCTTGCATTTTGAGTTATTACTAATTATATTAAATGTTACTTCATTTCTCCAAATAGGTTACTCCAAAAACTTAACTGCTATCAAGTCGAATCTAACCCCTCCTTGGATTTCCAAGGTGGTATTTCGACAGAAGTAGCTTGCCCAGTCTTCCTTCCAAGGAGTGGCTGGTGGGTTTGAACCGCCAGCCTTCTGGTTAGCAGTCAAATGCCTTAGGCACTGTGCCACAAGAGCTCCCCCAAATAGGCTAGAGCACCATATATTTAGCTTCGATTGGCCTTTCATAAAGTAAAAAGTTTATATAGAATTCTGCATGCCCACTCGGCATAGTTCTGCTACAGAGGCCTCATGTGACCTATCGTTACGTCTGACCATGGTGGCGGCCCTTACCCAACTGGTTTTAGCTTTAATTTAGCTCATCATATTGCTGAATTACCCAGTCTCAGCCGCTTTGTTTTACCTTGTTCATTATTGCCTCCTAGTCCCCAAAACAGATTGAATATGCTAAAGGTCCACTTTTACACTTTGTATATTTAAATTGTCAAAGTTTTATTTTGCACCGGAGAAGCAGGCTAAAGAAGTATGATCAAGTCAAAGCATTGACCTTCAGTTAATTGATTTATATAATTTATGCAGTGGAAGTCCATGCAGTAGACAATAAATAACATGTATACTT